CGTTACGAGCAAAATATTGATTACATCCCGGTTTCAGCTTTACACATTCGTCCGAGGTTAAGAACCTCACGCTCTAGTTCGCGGACTTTCGATCGTTCTAGCAGGTCCCACAGGTTTATTTCGTATTGCTTTTAGCGATTAGAAGTTCGCACGAAAGTTCCAAAGGTCTTTGTAATCTATTATTTATATTCTAATTTATGTGTCTGCCCATAGATGATTTGAAAAAAAGTGATAGCCTTAATCTCTTGGCGAATAGCATGTTCATTACATTTAGTAATGAATCTTCTATTTTCTAATTAATAATTTTACGATTTTAACTTAAGAATTCATTTCACTTTCATGAATTTATAACGAATGTTTTTATTGTTGAAAAATATATTAAAAGAATATAATTATTATATCATACGTTATTATTATAAGATTACTTTTATAATTATTATCATAATATTTTTATATTCATTCATTATTTATTTTGAATTATATTATATGAATATTTTTAAAGGACCATCACAAACTTATTTAATTATTTAATTGAGAAGTATTCTGAATTATTTAGAGATCTAGCCAATTGGAATGAAATTTGAGAGGAAATGGTGAATTTAAAATATGAAATCTTAGTTGTGACGAGTCAATACTAAAGCTTTTTCTTCAAAAGCTGTCTGTTTACTTTCTTCGCTCATTCAGTATTTTCAATCTTTGAATTTACGATATGAAAGGCTCAGAAATTAATCAGTGTAATAAGTCACTTCTCATTAATCCTCGTCCGTTTTCTGTAATATAAAATTTATAAAATTTATTCTATGATTTCCATATATATTTCAAGCCACTTTGACAAGAAGTAATTACTCAATTTCGTCTCGATCAAGAAACTGGTATCATTCGGAAATCATTAATATCATTAATAAGATTACTATGTTTTGATAAATACCTTCAAATCGTGCTTCATCTAGATCTACTGTTTTCACTCCGAAGTGATCGTCTGGTAGGAAATGATGCTTATTTTTTTCATTGTATCCTTCTTCGTTCACCGCTTTGTCTCTGAGACAATCAAAAAAAAATTTTGATAAAGGAAGTGAATAATTCTCTTTTGCGTTCTTAAGAAGGAAAATAGAGAAATTATTATTGACTGTACGGTATGCTATTGCAATTTACGTTATACATTATAGATTTTCCTGCAGATATCAATGTGACAATCTTCAGCCCATAAAACATTACTTTGATGTATATCGAAGAGACACACTCTATGATTAGTGTATGATTAATACAGTACACAGTTATGTTTTTCAAAATAATTGTACAAGATATGCCTCGTACAAATTTGAAACTTCCACTTGTGTCAAATTTCAATCAATATGAGAAATATATTATACAAATATTTCTTCATTTCAATACATTAATTTTTACATTATATAAATATCAACTGATGTAATATAAATATACTTATAATAAACTAGTATAGTAATAGAGTGATTATATTACATCAGTTGATATTTATATAATGATATTTATATAATTTATATGATGTAATATAATCACTCTATTATAAGTATATTTATAGTAAATTATATTACATCAGTTGATATTTATATAATTTATATAATCACTCTATTATAAGTATATTTATAATAAATTAGTATAGTAATAGAGTGATTATATTACATCATAAATTATATAAATATCATTATATAAATATCAATTGATGTAATATAATCACTCTATTACTATATTAATTTATTATAAGTATATTTATAATAAATTAGTATAATAATAGAGTGATTATATTACATCAGTTGATACTTATATAATGTAAAAATTAATGTATTGAAATGAAGAAAGTGATTATCATATATTATAAATATATTTGTTTATTTTAAAAAATATAATATCAATTTTGCTGTTTCACGAGAAAATTGTGTTGTATTGGTATTTTACGAGAAAATCACTTATATTATCACTGTATCGTGCAGCGTATTAATTTCGTTGAAGACATACATTGTGCCATTACTCGAATTCAACCTCAAAGGAATTACAGGAGTGGTATTGACAGTGGTGACAATAGTTGAAATGGAATCCTCCTCCTCTCTTCCAACATCCACCGGTTGTCTGCATCTAAACGCGCACGGGCAGTAACGAAGAATAGTGTTCGCGATCTTATACTCCTTCCTTCTTGGATTAGTAGATCCTTCGTTGAAATTTTCATCTTTCTCGATCGAACTCGCCTCTGTGCCTTTCAACACTGTAATTGCATTGCTGGCTTCTTCTGTCCAAGCACAGTACTTGAAGATCATTTCGATCGATAATAGTTCATCGATCACGATCAAAAGTCCTTGTCATGCCACTGACGCTGTTTACGTAGTTTGTCAAAGTTATTTTTGCACTATCGACTCGTCTCATTCTTCCACTTTTTCACGATTCGCTTCTTTCAAGTTAGGCGATCAATTAATCGAACGTATTTCCGATGTGGGATTATTTAACGTCTTTGGTTTATTGATATATAGTAACTACAGCAAGTTAAATTATTTTTTTTTTTAATTTTGGAAAATCAGATGCTATTTAATTTTTTGGAACACGAAGTTCAGTATCACGTTCGATCTTCACTGTTTGATGATGATTAATTGATACATAATATATTATTTGCATGTAATGTGGTAATTATGGTATTTTATTTATTGGTTTTTTTATTGATTAAAAATACAGATAACCTTGGGAAGGTATTATCATTTCGAAGAGATCGTTTCGAATGCATTTAGTTATGAATTCAGAAATATTTACGAACTATTATATTATTGATCTATCATGAAAATAGAACTGTAAATAAATTATGAGTCATATCAAATCTATAAAATACAATCGGTGAATAATTCTCGTTTGGCTATATATTTGGAGAAAAAAAATTTAGAAATAATTATCAACTGTCTTTCGAAAATTATAGTAATATAGCGTATTATTATTCTTAAATAAAAATTAAATTATATAAATTCTATTTGTAGCCATTTATATTTTTCATCCAATTGACAAAGTTAAAAGGAATTTTGAAGCAATAAATTTCATGTGTCTAGACAATATGCAATTCAAATTTCAAGCTATTATTCTAGAGCTTCGGCTACATTTCGTGTTTATCTTCCTAAGGTTAACGAATGATCGATTAACAACCTGTTATGGAATGTTCTATATCTGACAAGATATGCAAATGTAATTGAACGGTAAAAAAATTTTGAGCTTGTCGATAATTTAGAAGAAGAAATATATGAAATTGAAAAAAATTAGATAGTATTAAATATAATTTCTAAATAAATGTAATATTAAATTAAATAAAAATAGATGATTATAAAAGAAATAAAAGAAATAAATAAATTAGCATTTTACTTTTCTACTAACTGTATACATTTACACCTTATTTACAAGTGAAATTAAAAAAAAAAATATATATATATATAATCGAAATCGAAATTCTAGATTCTATTAAAAAGATTCTAATCGAAATTTCATAAATTCTATCATATGAGCATTTTAGAAACTAATTGTAAGTCATAATTTGTTTTTTTTTATGAACTATTGTCTAGACACACGATTGATATTCTTAAAAGTCCGATGTCTTACTCTCATAAATTTTTTCAGAAAAAGAAACTCTTAATATAGATAGCAATAAATTCATGATAAATTTTAAAAATAATGCTATGAAACATTATTTCATTCAATTTTGAAACTAATCTATATGACTTCTAAATAGCTCATAATTACTCAAGCCAGCAAATAATATTTTATATCTATTGTACAGCTTGTTTCAGAAGCTCTGTTTTTTTTATTTACGTTATAAAATTAAAAAAAAAAAAAACTAAATAGACGATCTATGGCGGCCATAATCGGCGCACGCACCGGTCGATCATCGCAGCAATTAATGGACGTTTAAACTAAAATTGCACTACACTGAAGCATGCTGGTACTGCTAGGCAATCATGTTGAAATCACTTCGACAAATTCCATCAAATTGAAATCGAATCAAACTGACTGATTGATTAATTTTTCTTTTTCTCTCTTTAGAAATGGGGGGAGGGTAAAAAGCAAGTACTGACGACGCGACAAATAACGCCACACGCACGACTGTGCTCACGTAAACTTAGGCTGTCTCAGCACTGACCGCTGCCACTTCCCTCCACCCCCATCACCCCTTCTGGTCTCCGTTTCACTTGTAACCCCGCGATACCATATCGAATGGTTATACACTGACCGTAGAAGTCCCCTTCTGGACATTAGGGTGGAAACGTGTACGAGGATATAGGCGTCAAAGGTAAAAATGAACAGGTGTCGCGTTGTACAGCGAAGAGCACAGCTGTACCAAAGACGATCGAAAAGTTGTCGATAATTTAAACGGATATAACTTGGTGAAAAAAGTCACATAATGATGATAAATCCGCATGGTCTTACTTTAAAGAGTGAAGCTTCCACTTCGATAGTCAGAGAGTTCATTCTTTTCTTTTTTTTTTTTTTTCTCTCAGAGATGACTTTACATTGTGTGAGTGAGTAGAAAAGTGAGAACACCTTTTTTTCTTGAAAATTGTAGAAATTCAAACACGTGTGAAGACATTGAAAAAATTTTCTCGTAAGTGGATCATTTCGAAGATTGAAGTCTCCCCTTTACAACGACTCCTTGAAACTTGTTGTGCGATTTTTTTCTCACTATTTTATTGAACGTTAAACATTGAGGGTTGAACGACAAAAATTCAAGAAATTCTGACATTTCGTTATTCAGTCCCAATGTTGCTAAAATTAAATAAAATTGTGAAACAGAAAAATCATACAGCGGGTTGTAAGAGGTCGTTGTTAAAATTGTTAAAATCATGGTGAATTCAATCATGAAAAAAATTTTTCAATATTTTTACACTCGTCTGAATTTTTATATTTTTCGATACATGGTGTAAAATTGTTCTTTAAAAGAAACTAACTTACAACTATCAAAATAGTGGATTTACGCTTTAATCAAGTGGATTGTTATATGATCTTTTTTCCATGAAGTTATATCAGTTTAATAAAATAAATTATATAATAATAAGTAATTATATAATAGTAAATTATATCAGTTTAATATATAAATTATATAACTTTTATGAGGTTTAATCAGTTTAATAAAAATAAATTATCGTTCGTATCGATAATTATGTTCTCGTAACTAATTATAAATTAATAATAATACTAAGATTATCTGTGATAATTTGCATAATGTCGAAATACGACACTTTTTTTTATAATTTAAATCACGAATGTTCTTGAATTCTATGTTATTTAAACACGATATATTAATCTATTTCATCTAACAATATGTGTAGTTGTCCTTTGTATGCATATTTTCAACTTCTTTGTTATTCAAGCCTTGAATTGCAAAACAA